TGTGTGGATGTGTGTACAGGTGTGTAATTGTACAGGTGTGTATACAGTTGTGTGGTATGCTTTATGTGTGGATGTGTGTATAAGTGTGTAACTGTGAAGGTGTGTGCAAGTATGTGGATGTGTATAGTTGTGTACAGGTGTGTGTAAGTATGTGTGGATGTGTACAGGTATGTGATGTAGGTATATATGGATGTGTGTACACGTGTGCAGCAGTGTATACAAGTGTGTAGCTCTATGTGGCTGTGTGTACAGGTGTGTAACTGTGTACAGGTGTGTGCAGGTGTGTAACTGTGCATACGTGTGTGTGTGTGTGTGTGTGTGTGTACAGGTGTGTGGCCTAGGTGTGTACAGGTACGTATAGCCCTCCCACATCACTGCAGGGATGGGGAGTGGGCTCACCCCCAGGAGAAAGTCATCACGATCATCGGGCACCAGGTCCGAGTCCAGCACCAGGAACACCTGTAAGGGCAAAGGGGTTCACTCCTCATCTGTCCATGGCCTGGCATGCCCACATACCACCCCCATAAAGCCAAGGGCACACCCGCGCTCACACACAGACACCAGGGTACCCCCCGCCCCCATGAAGCCAAGGACACACCACACTCACACAGATGGACACCAGGTTTCCCAGGGCGATGAGGGTCCCCAGGTAGTCGAAGTAGTAGTGGCCAAAGAGGAACTGGGCGCTCCGCAGAAACGGAGAGCGGTATTCGGGCCGTGGGGGGTGCTGTGAAGGGAACACGCCCACACTCAGGTCCCGGCAGGAGAGCCGCAGGCCTATACCCTACCACCCAAGCACCGATCCTCGTCCATCTAGCCTAAGGAAAGAATCCCAAACCCCAACATCCCGCGGGAACTAGCCTCCATACCCACTTACAAACCCAGGATGTGCCCCTGGTGCTGCTGGGAAAGGCAACATCCCAGGGGTCCAGGGACGACGGGAACCCGGGTAACTCAGCCAGCTACCTCTTTAATCACCCGCTTGTCCACCTCATTGAAGAGTTTCTGGAACTCGTCGGCCGACAGCAGACGGTCACCCTGGGAAAGAACCTTCTGCAAAGGGTAGGAACTGTTCAGTGACCCAGGAAGCAGGTGGCAGGGGTGCACCAACCCCACAGTGGATTGGGTGTCCAGGTGTGGAGCTACCTGCATGATGGCCTGCCTGCAATGCGAGGCCATGTGGATTTTCTGCAATGCTCGCAGGAAGGTCTCGGGCCTCACCCCAGCCCTGTGAGGAAAAGACGACACCAAGTGCTGGGCCTGGCTTCTGACACAGAGACCACAGGCAATGACAGGGGACAGGCACTCAGCGAACAATATGAATATGGCACAGGCTGCCCCAATGATGACCCCCTGACAAGCCCCTCCTCACCGTGGGGCCTGTCCTCACAAGCCCCACCTCGAGCCTGGGCCCGTGGGTTCTGCTAACAGCCCGGGGTGTGGAGACCATAAAGCTGGCTAAGAAGAAACAGGGCCCCTGGGTGGGGACGGGGAGCCAGGGATAACACAGACAGGAAGATCAAGCAGAGCCCAGAACACCAAGCCCAAACCCAAGCCCAGCGCCAAATATTTTGGACAAGGGCATTCATAATGGTTGTGTAACACAAAACAAAGAACACAACGGTCACTAAACTAGACCTAGGTAGGCCTCAAAAAGTTCGTGAAAAGATAGTGGGATTTTTCCAGAAACTTTTCATAAAGGTTTGAACTGGCAAACATTTTGTTGTGTACACGCTCATAATGAAAACTATATATATACAGAGAGAGAGAAAAGACCCAGTGTGGCGCTGTAGGATAAGCACTGGAACGTAAGGTCAGTTGGAACCTCAAAGTCAGCAGTTCAAACTCACCAGCCGCTCCTTGGAAACCCTATCCAAGGTTGCTAGGAGTCGGAACCAACTCGACAGCAGTTAACAACAACAGAGAGAGAGACAATGTGCGTGCATGAGTAAGCGAGCTAGCCCTGGTAGCATAGTGGATTACGAGCTAGACTGCTATGCTAACCACAAGGTCAGAAGTTCAAATCTACCAGTCGCTCCTTGGGAGCGGAAAGTCTCGGAAATCTTATACAGGGTCGTTATGAGTCAGAACTGACTCCATGACATGGTGGTGGAGGCTGTATGCTGTGGAGTCGGCTTCAACTAATAGAGACCTTGTACAGGGTGAGGCTCAGCAGACAACCTCCACCGTGTGTGTACACAGTAGTGGTGGTGGTTGTGTGCCCGACACATTGTTGTTGTGAAGTGCCATTGAATCGGTTCCAACCCATAGCGACCCTGTATAGGGTTTCCAAGGAGCAGCTGGTGAGCTTGAACCACCAACCTTGCAATTCAAAAGGCTTTGCAGTCTGGCGCATTAGCCCACAGCCCCACACCAGGACTCCTTAGTGATCCCATATAGGGTTTCCAAGGAGCGGCTGGTGGGTATAACTACCGACCCTAAGGTTAGCAGTCCAGTGCTAATCCTACAGCGCCACACCAGGACTCACATATATGGTATATGTATGTATGTGTGTGCATGTGTGTTTCTATGGTATGTGTTTATGTATGTGCAGCAGGAAGATCTACAAACAGCAAGTTCTCAGGTCATGCTTTCTGAAAGGAAACATGGGGTCCCCTTCCAGAGAAGCAGGCCCACACTCCAAGGAAAGAGGGTCCCAGGCATCCCCAGCCCCCCCAGGTCTGGGTGTCCCCATGTTCCAGGGGAAGAGGGTCCCAGACCCCCATACCGCATGTCCCCACACTCACGCCTGAAGGTGGTCCTCCTTCCCCCCCTCCAGGGAGGTGAGAACTTCGTAGGCAGCCCTGGTGCCCAGCCGCCTCCGGAAGAGTGACGTCTGAAGAGAGAGCTGTAGGCAGGGCGGCACTGAGGGGCTAGCTCAGTCCCACCATGACCCCCCACCCCCCAGGGCCACTCACAGACTCGGGGAGCCACTGACAAGAGCCCAGTCACGCGGGCCTCACCATCAGGTAGCCCCGGAATTGGTTGTAGATGATGGCCGTCAGCAGGTTCATCAGGAACAAGCTGCCTTCACAGAGAGGCCGGTCAGTGGGCCCCAACATGCAGGTCAGCAGCCCTCCCACATGCCAATCAGCATCCCCATGACCCAGTCAGTGACCCCATAGCCCAGTTAGCATCCCCACAGCCCAGTTAGCATCCCCACAGCCCGGTCAGCATCCCCACAGGTCAGTTGGTACCCCCCACCCACAATAGCTGGGACCCGGGTCAGAGGATGCGACCCCTGGTCTGCAGGTGGGGGCGTGCAGCGAGGACACAGTACGACGTGAAATCACACCTATCACGGTGAAGAGGATGAAGAAGATGGAGTAAGCCCGGTTCTTGGAGTAAGCCGGCATCATCACTGGGGGACAGACACAGTCTCAGGCCCCTCCACCCAGGCCCCTCACACCTCTGCTTGCTCGCCCTTGGACATGGGGAGCTCACTACCTCCCTAGAACCTGGAATCACCCTGCGGCCCCTTTCCAGCCCCCAAACTCCCTTCTGGCTCAAGGTTCTGAGTGGCCCCTTCACCCCACAGGATCTCGCTAGCACCCTCCAGTGACCTCTTGTCCTGCTCAGGGCCCCCCTCACAAGCCCCCAGGTTTCTGTTCACCCATCAAGATTCTGTTCTGCCCTCAGTGCCTCACTCTCCCGCCTAGGGTGCCCCCCCAAGGCCCCAGTGCCCCCTCGTGCCTCCCTTGCCCCACCAGTGCCCACATGCAGGATCCTGCTCACCGCCCCCCTCCCCCGGCCCTCCCAGAATGCCACCCCACCCCCACTGCCCACACACACCATCGGGGTTGTTGGCGGTGGTCAGCAGCACAAGGAGGGAGGTCAGGGCCTCAGGCAGGTTGCGGAAATACGTCAGCCTTTCTTTTCTCAACTGGTCCTCCTGCCGAGAATACAAGTGGGCAGTTTCAGGGGACCATCGGGGCTGCTACCCACAAGCTGAGGCCGCCACAGCGGAGCCACACAAACCCACAAACTGTACCACCCAGCAGGGGGGCGATGCCTCTGCCAACCACTCCTAGCAGGCTCTGCATATGCAGCCAAACCGGCCCTAATGAGGTCCACAGGTGACAGCAGACAGACGGGGAGACTAACACCAGAACCCCACCCACCCTCCCGACCACACCCAGCACATCAGAGGCCCACCCACTCCCTAGGCCCCACCCAGCTCACCAGAACCCCGCCCACCTTCCCCAGGCCCCACCCAGCACGCCTGCAGCCCACACCTTCTCTCCGGTGAACAGCAGCATCCCGAATGTCGTGAAAAGGCAGAGGTGCAACGCCAGCAGCAGAGCCACACTGAATACCAAGGAGCCGGTCAGCTCTGGCAGGACCGAGGCCCAGAGATAGCCGACTTCACCCGGGTCAGGGACGAAACGCCTGCGAAGCTCCCCAAAGTGTCGGGGACCAGGAACTGGGCCTGCCCCACCCAGTGAGGGGTTTGTTTGGTGGAAGGGAGACTGCAGTCCCAGGGATCACCCAGACAGGTAGGAGTGCAGCCATGTGAGCCACTGGGGAATCCCAAGAGAACGCTGCAGGGACCGATGTGGGATGTGTCAAGGGGAGGCAGTGAGGAGGCCAGGCCTCCTGGGGTGGGGGGGAGGCTACTGGAACCATCACAGAACCTGTAACCCACACACACACCCAGCCAAGACCCAGACACTATCCCAAACTGTGGAGGCCAGACCTGAGGCCTGGGCCACAGCTGCCTGGTGTAGGCCAGGGGCACCCTGCCCACCTGGCCATCTGGGGCAGCGTTGACCGGATGCACTTGAGGGTCTTCTTCATCATGGACGAGTTCTGAAGCAGGAAGAAAGGCCGCAGGAGCCGGCGGATCCGAACCGTCTGCAAGAAGCCCAGGGGATATTCAATATTGTGCTGGAAGGCTTAGCAAGAGCTATACGGCAAGACAGGGAAATTAAAGGCGTCCAAATTGGCAAAGAGGAAGTAAAACTCTCCCTATTAGCAGACGATACGATCCTATACATAGAAAACCCCAAAGACTCAGTAAAAAGGCTACTAGACCTCATTGGAAGATTCAGCAAAGTGGCAGGATATAAGATCAACATA